GGGGATTTTTCGAAGTCCTGGGTCAGCCAAGAGCAGCAGCAAGGAGCAAACGCAGTGCAGTATACTCTACAGCTTTACAGTCCGTCCTCCTCAAGTCCTATCGGAGATGAATAGTATCGCACAACGGCTGGATCCGAAATGCCGGCTAGCTCCGCAATCCAAGAGAGGTGGGTGGCTGAGCTAAAACCGGAATGACTGCATGCGTGCTCCTCTCAGCGACATCGCTGGCTGGCTCTTTGAAGTGCAGATTTCTGGTTCAGCGGAATTTGATTCCCAATTCTTCGTTGTCACCTGGGTGTATGGGAATTTTTGAGAAAGAAAGGTGTACAGAAATTGATTATCCTAATTGCAAGGGACACGTTTCATTTTCAGTGTTCCCCCTTGCGGTTTCGACGGTTAAATATGCGGTTACCCACAGATTTTCGCATCGCTATAAATAAGCTATCAGGTTCCTACAAAAGTATGCGTGTACAATTTTGGTAGTGTAGAAGCAATTTGAACATGATTTTTATGTCATTATTTATAAACAGGCGTTCTTATTTTGCACATAGACATGTAACGATGTTTGAACATAACACAACAACACTACTCCAGGAATTGCTCAACAAAGAAACGGGACACTAACCAATAAAGGAAAAAAAGATAATCGCACGCAGGCTAATCTACCAAAAATTCATTCGTATCTACTCGATTCCAAATACCCAACTCCACTTTCTTCCAGTATGAATTACGCACCATAGGTGCATTTACACCCACGATGTTTGCAGTCACTGGCGAGGTACGAAAAAAGGTATTATACATGAAATTGTGTAAAGTATTACGTGTAAGTCGACTAGAATAGAAACGTGCAAGCATGTCAGCTATCAATCTGGCTGTGGCAGCTTGGAAAAATCGAATGTCAGTACATCTAATAGCAAATCGGCACATTTGACAGCAGTGTAACGTCGACATCTTACACCTAGTAGATAACACTGTTTCCCAATGTGGGAATGCCCGATATTGCTTCAGCGTAGCCATATGATTTTTTGCGAGTCTCAATTTCTTAACTGCTCAGTTCTCAAGTGCGGGCGCTATCTGTATCATGTAGCTACAACAAGGAGATGCGCAGTAATTACAGAAGAACATAAAAGTATTTGGCAACAGAGGCGTATTTAGTTTATTTCCCCCGTCAATAAAACAATACGCTGGCAACTTATTTTCGACTGGCATAGGTGTGCTTGTGTGTATGCATACAAGAGGCCAGATCATGCGCTGCTAGCTCACGAACATGAAGTCAAGTGTCAAGGTAGCTGTGTTTTTATCACTGAGTTGTAGACTGGAGGGGGTTCAAATGTTCAACCTGCGTCTCCCCCGCGTTCGCTGCTCACTATAATAGCGCCGCACTGCTCTGTGCTGTGGTGCGCAATCCTCCCTGGTGTTAGCCTGGCTGGTGGGCCGCTTACGCCGTTGCTACCATGGGGATCACTGGGCTCCTTCCGCTCCTGAAGCCAGTCACGAAGGATGTCCATATCAGAGAGCTCAAGGGTCTGGTGAGTGCTGTTTTCAAACACACCACGCCGCCCGCGCGGCTTGATCAACGGATCCAACTGGCCGCTGCTGCATGACATTCCCTGCTGCTCGATTGACCCAGCAATCTGACAATCGAGATTACTGCCGTCCCTGTGGTCCCTACTTATCCTGGAACACAGTCTGCTTTCCAATTCACGTGGGCGCAAGTCCCGCCGTGGACTCTCTTGTTGCCGAATGGCAAAAGCACTCCCTCCTCAGTGTGTGATGTCCAAGTTCAAAATTCCAATTCGACGTGACGGATGTATGCCACCTGCTGCTTCATCACACTATTACACCCATTTGCTTGCCCTGCTCCTTCCAGACTGTCGGCGTTGACGCGTACTGTTGGCTGCACAAGGGAATCTACAGCTGCAGCGCGGAGCTTTGCCAGGGAATCGCTACCGACAAGTTCATCAAGTACTGCGTAGAGAGGTAAGGAGACGTCGAGGAACATTCAATATTCAATTCCCGTTATACTTCAGCAAGTGCCCAAGGCAGCAGCCTCAACTGCTTGTAGGTTGAGACACCCCTTTTCCGGACCGTTCACTCCACGACGAAAGCATGCCAAAATCAACTGCTGGCGGCAAGCTGTTAGCAAGGCAGTTCCCAAGCCGCCGTCTTCTCGGCATCGTCACTGGTTGCTTATTGCTGCGAAGCAAGCGAGCTTTGAAACTCGGCCCACGGGGTGAGGTGTCTTGTGCAACCTCCGATACGTACGGCTCCCTAATTCCTGTCTTCTTTTCAGCTCGAAACCGTCTGTGTGTGGAGTACGAAAAGGCCCAAAATGCTGCAAGATGGTGCACTTCGTCCAGGCGCAGCGTGATCAAACTGCGCGTTCACCACGCACACAACCGGCCCTGGGTCACTCTGTATATTTTACGAAATCTTCCGGCGGGGTATAGCTGTCTGTAAGGCATTCTCAATCGATCATACCCCATGCTTAGGGAGGTGATCACGAGTTTGCCATGTAAATGGTAGCTGTACGAAAGAATACACTGAAAGTGTAGTACTCTACATACGCTGAAAAGTGTAGTACACGTCTCACCACGAAAAATGGGGGGACAGTTGCCATAATAAATAGGACGAAAACACACACAACACACACATGTATGTAGGAACCGCGTGGGCTTTCAACGGCAAGCAACGCCGGAGCGCGAACTCCCCTCGCTCAGTTAGGAAGGACACGATTGGACATGGGTGATCGGTCCACAATGGTCTGTCCTCTCGCGTCAATAACCGGTAAGGCATCCAAACATAAGAGTACGCTCCCCCCCCTCGCCCTCTCGCGGAATAACAAACGGCTTTTCGCGCTTGGTGATGTGAGAGCCTGGTCCGGTGAGAACCCGGCGTGCTCCGCCCCGGCTTTGTAGGGATGCNCTCGGTGTTTGCCCCCCCCCCCTGGTTTTCGTCGCCTGGCAACGACGTTGTAAAACAAGCCGCCCCTCCCCCTGGTGTTTGCCATTGGGGTTGGGTTTCGTCGCTTGGCAACGACGTTGTAAAACAAGCCACCCCCACGGTGTTTGCCATCGGGATTGGGTTTTCGTTGCTTGGCAATGACGTTGTAAAATAAGCCAATTCACTTCGTGAACTCGGTAACCAGGTTTTCGTTTATGTTTCACCTCTGTTTTTTTTTTTGGCGGTAACCATAATGGCGGTCGAGTAGATCATGTTGTGCGGGGTCAAGAACCCTCAATCCGCGCAAGGGGGATGATCGCACCACGTTGTGTT